TTTGTTTTTTTTTTTTTTATATTTTAATGATTGCCAACTTTTCCTTTCGCTTTCTATTTTGTAAGAAGCGTCGTTTTAGGTTGCTGTATATAATATGGATTATTTATCATTTTATAATATACTTCCAAGTTCCAATTATATATATAAGAGATCTTAAAAAATGGAAAGATAGTAATCAAATTATAGTAAATCGAAAAAACAATGGGAGCAATTATTACAAAATTAATATAATTAAAAAAATCTGATATAAAGTTAATTCTCGTTTGTTTAGACAATATTTCTTTATAAAAGGAAAGATTATGGTTGTTCACTTTTTGTTCTATTAAGTTTTTTATACTATATAAGATTTATTGGGTTACATTACATTATAAAAGTAACTAGAATCTAGTCATAATTAATCCACAAATTTTCTTACGTATGAGAATATAATATTTTATCTCGTTAGTAATTCAGGATGATAATGGAAATTATGATTCATGACGATAATGTAAATTTGATATAGTAACGGAAAGAGTTAAAAAAAAGGAATAATATATACTATAAATAAATTAATTAATGAGACAAGACAACCTCATTTCTTCTATATGCCATATATATAAATATATATATAATCATTTATTAATGTAATTGTTGTAATCATGGACTAAAGCGGAGTGCTTTTGTATGTAAACTTATTGATATAGGGAACCTTCTGCATTTATATCCTCAAAATAAGGTAATTAGTTCATTCACAAATCTCGCTGGGATTTGCTAATCCGTGATTTGTTACGGCAATTTTTTACATTTGTATATTTTTATTCACTTTTAACTAATGTCATCAGAATATGATTTAAACATAAAATCATATTCTAATTTCTATTTTATTTTTTTGATGATTGATATTACATATACATGAATTGAAATATGATTGATGCAAATTATATCTTACAATCCCCAAGATTGATTAAATCAAAGTTCACTCATAATTCAATCTTTGGAAGATTTGAGCGGGGCGCATTGGTAATATTTTCTTCGAAACAATATCTACTAATACTTCTGAGGTGATTAATTTTTAGGCAAAATTGTATGTAATATCCTAATTTGGACTTTTGATATTTTACAAAATATATAACCTTCTCATTTTTTTACAAAATATGAAATTAACTACTCAATTTAATTTTACAAATCAAGAATTAAGCTAAAAAAAAAAATATTGACTTAGACTCCACAAAACCATAATTGAGCAATCTAAAGAATCCATGACCCGATTTAAAAATCTTAGCACATGTACTAATCTATTCAACAATTGTTAAGAATATATGATATTAACAATGAAAAACCGAAATTAAAATATATGATATTAACAATGAAAAACTGATGTGGTGATATAATTTGCCAAATTTAAAACAACCAAAATTAAAATGTTAATTTGAGTGAGGTTGTGTATTAAATGCAATATTCTATGTGACTATGGGGAAAAATAAATTGAAACGATTTCTAGTCTTACGTGACAAAAATGTGGGTTATTATTATTATTGTTATTATTATTATATTATTATTATTATTATTGTTATTATTATTATTAAGCAAACATGACACTTGCACCGATAACTTTCAATTATCGCTCCATTTATGAAAGTTATGATATGAAAACTCAATGACAACTTATGATACCATCTCATAAGCAACACTCTTTTAGCATATATAGCCGTCTTTTCTCCTCTTACAAAACTGATCCAAATAAATTAATAACTATTCAAAAAAAGAGTAAAACTTCTGCTGCTCGAAATTTCGAAGAATAAATGCAAGTACTATTTTTGTATGAGTGTAGGTGTACAAGCAAAGGGGTCCATGAAATGAGTGAATGCAGAAAAATATTAAATAAGAGGTGGTTGAGATGTTTTATTTCAAATGTACATTTTGGCAGGCTTTTGAATTAAATAGGAGATCAATAAGGTTTTTTGCATTTCTTATATTTTGATTGATTTTGATGGGTATATATATATATATATATATTCATCATGCATTGCATTAATGCTTGGATATAAAAAGTTTTCGTTTTGATTGGATTTTTGGTTTGAGTTAGTTAAATTTGAAAAAGCTGATATAATTAATTGTTAGTTGGTATACTAAAATAATATTTAAAATAAAATAATTAAAATTAAATTGATGTAAAAGTAGGAGAGAGAAGATGTGATGTGATGGTTAGTTAAAATTATGTGAGTTAATGTTGTGTGTAAGAATGATTGATTGATATTATTTAATTATATTAATAATATTGATGATAGTGGGGCTGAGTTAAAGTTGAGTTAAAAATGATTAGATTTTTTGGGTTGAATTTGTATCCAAGCATGATTTAATGATTTTGCACTCAACGACTAGCTTCATTTTTCTTGTCGTTTCTTTATCCCTAATCTTAGTTGTTAATTTTCTGATACCCTTTAACATACTTAGTAAACGTAAACATCACAAATTCTTGATCGAGCTAGTCTAATTATTAAGTTGGTCGACCTGTCATACTATTTTATCAAAAATACATTTATATTACCAAATGTCATACTCTTGTTTATGTTGATTTTTAAAGCATAATATTTATATATCTATATATATATATATATATATAAATATGCACATTTATATATATATATATATATATATATATGCACATTTGTATAAAAACAAGTATACTACATTAATGGTTAGGTCCAACTAATACAAAAACACTGTTTAAATATTTGGCAAAACATTACTTGAAAGTCAACAAAAGCTCTTGTGAATATTTATGCTTAGGCTTAGCCGCTTAGGCTTGGGCTTGCAATATCTCGTGCCGTATAGATGACCAACATAAATTGGCTTAGGCTTTAGCAGGAAATTTATTATATCACCCCATCATCAAGAGAAAGTGCAAGATATAAAATGAANAAAGAAAAAAAAAAAAGGAAACATTGGGGACTACCAATTTCGTTCTATTTTTCTTGATCATAATTATTTGGTGGGTGGGGTCAATTTTCCTCCAGAAATTCATCATCCATTAGCATTATTAGTTTATGACAGATACATTGTTTGTTATCTTCTTTATACTGGGAAAATACAAGGGACCATGACACGGTAATGGTCCTTTTTCAAGGCAAACCTGACTGCAATTTGCCCGTCTCATTTGATCAGCAACTGGTAAAGGGGATATTGCCGCAAATCTTTAGCTGTATAAAAAATCTAACAGATAGATAACAATTCGGTTGAAAAGGGTCAATTCGTACACCCATTGATACCCGACTTAAACACCCACAATCATTTACAGTTCACAAAATCAGTACAAAAAACGACTGAGTTATATGCTTACAATAGTCCCGGGAATACAAAACAAGGAGAAAGCTTATGAATTAGCACTCTTACAAATTGCGACAGAGTTAGTAAAAGCAAATGACATAAAATTATTAACTATAGAAATCAGCACATGGTTTATGGAGACATTTAAGACTATAAGCTAGAAATAAGTTCCCTCAGGAGGCTGGACAAGCTTACGGTTTTGTGCGGCTGCCATTTCTTTCTTGAGCTGTTTCAATGTCTTCCATTGTGTACTCTCACTGCCAATTCAGAAGTCAAAACTTGTTTGGTTCAACCTCGATTGATCGAGAGACCAAGAGATTAATAAAAACATAAGATATTTCAGTAATATGGTACAATTGGGGTCGATCTCATGTGACCAAGTTATGAGTCAATTTGTTCGTCTAAATCATTTATCGAAACTAAATATAAATTTTACTATTATAAATACTTAATTACGATAAATGTAATGTAGTTCAAACTCCAAATAATCATATTAAGAATGATTTTATGACAACATGTAGAATGATTTATGAATATTTGTATATCGTTTAATGATATTCTATTACAATTTTTATTAATGTAGGGGAAATTCAAGGTCCTCATAATCGGGTCATCATCGAACCGATCAAGTTATTTATTCCATAGTTTATTGGTTGGTCTATAATTTAATTTATTAATATTTTAATATATCTAGTACTTTTTAGGCCTATATATAGACATTTACAGTCAGCGGATAGAAACCCTAAACAAAGCGCCCCATCACCAACATTTCCGACTGCCGACGGTATGACAGGCGACAACATATCCTCGTGGATGAGGAACTCCCCGATTTTAAATCGATTGGATTTTTTTAATCCTCTTCACCGAAGCTTATTCCTACTTGAGGCTCAAAGAAAATCAGGATGCGAGAGACCTTGTCGCGTGTCAAACAAATAGCGCGATCGGTAATTTGCTCGGTGAAGAGGGTTGCAGCCAATAACGACTCACCCAGCCTTCCAGCGAACCCAACAATCGGGGAGTTTGCAGCCAATAACGACTCACCCAGCCTTCCAGCGAACCCAACAATCGGGGAGTTCCTCATCCACGAGGATATGCCGCCGCCCGTCATACCGTTGACAGTCGAAAATGTTTACAATGGGCGACAATCGAAAATGTTGGTGATGGGGCGCTTTTTCTTAAGGTTTCTATCTGATGGCTGTAAATGTCTATATATAAGCCGAAAAAAGTACTAGATATATTAATAAATTAAATTATGGCACAACCAATAGAATAAATAACTTGATCGGTTCGATGATTACCCGATTATGAGAACCTTGAATTTCTCGTACATTAATAAAAGTTATAATACAATAAACATTAAACGATATACAAATATTCATAAA